CAGGGTCCTACAGGCTTCCATCGGAAACCAATTGGAATCCTGTAGAAATCCGATCGGATCCCAACAGGGTCCTGGAGGATTCCAGAAGAATCCTTTTGGAATTCTTTTGGAAATCCTATGGGGTCCTTACAGGGTCCTGCACGATTCCATCGGAACCCTATAGGAATCCTATGGGAAATCCTATACAGGATTCCATGGGAATCCTATTGTAATACTACTGGAATCCTATGGGACCCCTACAGTGTCTTACAGGATTCCTTAGGAATCCTATTGGAATCTCATTGGGAACCCATAGGGTCCCTCAAGGGTCCTACAGGATTCCATAGGAATCCCATTGGACTCTCATTGCAGCCCCATAAGGTCCCTACAGGGTCCTACAGGATTCCATTGGAATCCCATGGGGCTCGTATTGGAATCCTATAGGATCCCTACAGGGTCCTACAGGATTCCGTAGGATTCCAATAGGAATCCTATTTGGGGTCCGATAGCATCCGTACCGGGTCCTTCAGGATTCCATTGGATTCCAATCGGAATCCTAGTGGGGTCCTTTTGGATTGTTATAGGATCCCTTCAGTGTCCTACACGATTCCATGGGACCCCTATAGGAATCCTAGAGGAATCCTACAGGGTCCTACAGGATCCCATAGAAACCCGATTGTAATTCTATGGGGTCCCTACAGGGTCCTACAACAGGAATCCACTAGGATCCCTACAGGATGCGATAGCAACCCTATAGGAATACGAGGGGGGCCCTATAGGATCCCTACAGGGTCCTACAGGAGTCCATAGGATCCCAATAGGCATCCTATAGGATCCCGACAGGATTCCATAGCAACCCCATAGGAATCCGATGGGGGGCCCTATAGGATCCCTACAGGGTCCTACAGGATTCCAGAGGAACCATGTCGGAATCCTATAGGCTCCTTACAGGGTCCTGCAGGATCCCATCGGAACCCTATAGGAATCCTGTAGGATCCTTACAGGGCCCTGCAGGATTCCATAGGAGTCCTATAGGGAGGAGGAGCTGGCCTCGCTGGCGCGCGGTCGGTTTTCGGACACAGGAGTGCGTGGGGAACAGTAAGGGAGCCCACGGAGATTCGGAAACACATATAGATTTACGTCAGCGTGTGACAGAGGTGTTGCGCGTTGCTCCCCCCCCCCGGGGGCAACAACTGCAACGTGAAGCCTGGGGGAGTGCGCTCGCCCCGTGGGCGAGGACACCACCACGGGCCCCGCCGGGGTGGCCTGAGAGGTTATCCTTGCGTTGTTGTTGTTGTTGTTGTTGGTGGTGGTGGTTGTGGTGATGGTGGTGGTGGTGGTGGCTGTTGGTGGTTGTTGTCATGGTTGTTGAACTCTCATTTTTATTATAGAGAAGGATTGTCGTTGATCCCCCTCCCCGGTAACCATTGTTCTTGTTCAATCAACGTGTTTCTCCCGGGCTTCGCACTTGTGTTTTCACAAGGGAAAGCGAGATGTCACCAAACTACGCCCTTGGTCCCCAGTTTACAACCACAGCGGCTCCCGCCTGATACTTACTCACAATTTATTCCCAGCGCTCTCGCGCTTGGCTTCCTCATAATTTATGAAGAAATCGCGCTCTCGGGTAGGACTGCCTCGCAAGTTATTCAGACGCTTCGCCCTCGACAGTCAGGGATCACGCATCTTGGGGCTCTCTTGCACTGTCTGGAAGCCCTTTCGGATATTCCTGGGCGGTTTTCGAGCTTCTGGGCGGTCTCAGACGCTCGGAAGACCGAAGAACTGGCCATTCCCCAAATCAGAACAAAACAATGGGATATCAATGTTTCTTTGCGTTTCGAGAGCCTCTTGGGGGTTTCTCTTGGGTCGTCTTCGAGCGTCTGGTGGTTGTCAGGGGCCTGATGGGGGCCTCCGGGGACCGCTTGGCCGCCCTCCTGACCGATTTGGTCTCGTTGCCGTTTTCCAGGAGGGGCTTCCAGGAGCTCGGAAAGACTGGCAGACCTTCTGCAGGGCGTCCCAGGGGGCCCCCACGCCCACGGATCCAGGGGGTCCATTTTTTTTTTATTGGCTGGGAGGGTCCACCCCGCTGGTTTGCAAACATATAGGGCATGTAATTAGTGTACATACGCACAAACGGAAAACCAATGATTTAGTCGTTCGGGGCCCTCTGGTTGGGGGCTTTCTGGGACCTTGGGGCGTCTGGGGGCCTCCTGGGCCGTCTGGAGGCCACCTTGGGCCGTTTCGGAGCGACCTCAACGTGGAGTCGGGGCCCCCCTTGGGCAGTATTGGGACCTCCTGGCCAGACTTGGGGTTAAGTCGGGCGTGTCCCCCTACAGGAGGATGTTCGACGAAACATACTTCAAAAGTGCTCCAAAGAGGCAAACGAATCTGCAACAAAATAGCCCCCAGATTATTGTTGTAGTATGTTTTGATCAGTGTTGGGGTATTTTTTATTTTTCGTCGAACGTCCCCCTGTGGGGGGACAGGCCCGACTTAAACTTGGGGCCCGTTCGGCTCAGAAGCGGTAGCTGCGGCAGCGCGCGACCAGCTCCGAGGCACGCGACGCGCCCCAGGGCACCCGGCGGCTTGGGATCCGGCCCGCCTCGTTCCGTTCGGGGCTGGGGACGTTCAGGAGGGAGCAAAAACGCACCGACACAGTGGCTCGTCCACTTCCAGGAGAATGCAGAACGTATGGGAAGTGGGGGGGGAGACACCACACCGGAAACTATGGGGGGTCCTGTGGTCTGTGTGTCCTTCTTGGTGTGTCCCGGGGCCCCTTCCGACGTGCAGTTCCAAGGGGCCCGAGGGCACTCCAGCCCGTGCCTCAGGCCTCGGGGCACGGTGTCAGAGATTCCTTCTCTAAAAAGAGTTTCCCCTCGTCTCTCTCTCTCTCTCTCTCTCTAAAAAGAGCTTCCTTCTAAGAAGAGTTTCCCCTCGTCTCCCTTCTCTAAAAAGAGCTTCCTTCTCTAAAAAGAGTTTCCCCTCGTCTCTCTCTCTCTCTCTCTCTAAAAAGAGTTTCCTTCTAAAAAGAGTTTCCCCTCGTCTCCCTTCTCTGAAAAGAGCTTCCTTCTCTAAAAAGAGTTTCCCCTCGTCTCTCTCTCTCTCTCTCTAAAAAGAGTTTCCCCTCGTCTCCCTTCTCTAAAAAGAGTTTCCTTCTCTAAAAAGAGTTTCCCGCGTACGTTATTGTAAAGGCCTTGCGGCCGGTACCGCCGACACCGAATGGGGGAACCCGAGGTGCGTGGGAGGCCAGGAAGCGAAGGGGAAAGCTTCCCCTAGGGAGGGGTGCTCACCCACGGGGGGGGGATCCCACCCCCTCCCAGGACTCCGCCTGGGTCACTCCGGGGACCCTCCCCCCCTGGGACCCCCCCCATTTGCGGGGAAGCGATCAAAGGGAAGGGGCTTTCTCTCGACTCGATTATGGCGTTGCTCGATTTCTCTTTGGCTGGGACGTTTGACGAGGAGGGCACACTGACGGGAACAGGGGGTTGCGGTGACGACGAACGACCACGACGACGACGATGACGACTCAAACGGAAAAGTCTTCCACACACGACGACGGTCTGTGGATTGTCGTTCCTTTTTTGTTTTGTTTTTGTTTCTCTCTCTCTCTCTTTTTCGTAGGTTTTTGGTTGGTTCTCCCTCTCTCTCTTTCTCTCTCTCTCTCTCTCTTTCTCTGTCTCTCTCTCTCTCTCTCTCCGCGTATGTATATGCATAGGTGCACACATCTTCTCACTTGTCGCCTCACTGTGCCGAAAGTCGCACCTTCTGGATCAGGGCCAAATTTGGTATATAAAGATGGCCAATCAAAGTGGTTTGAGTGGAGACAGTGCCGATGAAGTTGTCGTCCACGTGGACTTGGCAAAGTCTCGAGCAGACCAGGGGATTATCGTCGAGACGGGAGTTGAGGGATGATCAGGTTGAGCCAGCACCCAGGATGCGCCCAGGAGGAGCTGTCCTCGACAGCAGGCGCACGACCACGCTCCCTGCGGATACGTAGGGAAGACAGGCAACAGATCAATGGAACGGTTTGGATACGCCTGCGTTGTTTAGGGCATGGTTCGACGCCAGTCCAGACGCGACATGTTGCTACATAATCTTGACGAACTGCGAGGTAGTGAAATGACTGGTGACACATGTGCATCTGCCAACAGTGGATGTCTAGATAATTGTCCGCATCGCGGCACTAACAAGATATCCCGGTATTGTTACACAAATACTTGCCTGGAGTTTGCATTGCCCTGCGTCATGAAAGAAGGGGGATGCGATATTCTTAGACTATGGGGTCACGTGCGCAGGTGGAACAACTCCAGGGCAGCAAATGGGTACACCTCAAGAAGTACAACGCGTGAGCCAGGGTTGACACAACGACTCCCAAGCTCATGAATACATGTTGCGTTGACAAAACCTATCTGGACAAGCGAGTCGACTACGATGTTTGCAAGTTATGTGTCGCATGTTTCACAGGGTCGAATGGAATCACCGAAGTCGCGCAGGATAGCAAATCAACAATACTACAGTCGACAAGTTCGTGGCTGTCGCTCTGTGCACCTACTAGAAGATAATTTTGGCATCGGCATAGGGACACATGTTGTGCATTTCGTACATCGACCATCAGTGGTGCAACACCGTGGTGTATGAAAGTCACACCCGTGCTCTCATCATGGTAATTTGGCTGCATATCGTGATATCAATTCTATATTCGTGTGGGCGAACCCTAACACATCAAGGCAGGATCCGCGTCAGAAAGCGATGTCTTACATGTCTCGGGTGCTTTTTGCCTTGACGGCGACGTGTTTCGGTCTCCCAGTAAAGACCCCTCCTGTTCCCTCTCTCCCCTCCCCCCACTGCCCCTCATCTTCCCCTTTCTGCCCCCCTGCTTCCCGTCTCCCTCCTCCCTCCGCTTCCTCCTTGCTCATTCTCCTTCCAGGTGCCCCTCAGTCGGTTGCTTCTCCTCTTCCCCTCATTCGGTTGTTTCTCCTCTTCCCTCCTCCCTTCCCCTGCTGCTCCACCTCTTCCCACCGTAGGCCAGCGGCGGTGCTGGAGACGGTGGCGGCGCTGGGCTCGGTCCCCTGTAGGGGCGACCCTGGGGCAGGAACGACAATCAGGGGAAGGTGCGCACAACATTTGGTCTGTTGTTCTGGCCGATTGTGTGTGTTGTATGTTTGTGTGTGTGTGTGCGTGTGCGTGTATTGTATGTTTGCGTGTGTGTGTGTGTGTGCGTGTGCGTGCGTGTGTGTGTGTGTGTGTTTCTGTGTGTGCGTCTGTGTTTTCGGAGGGTCCAGGCGTTCTCAGTATACATCCCCGCGAACAAAAGTTCATGACAAACGCGGCACAAGGATGGGCAGCGAAACTATGCTGAATCAAACCAGGCGGGGCCCGTCGCATCAAGTGACACAGGCCTGTCAATGTTACGGAAAAGCGTCTCGTTTGCATTGCGCGTTGCATGTTAGTCATCCGATTGGTGGGAAAGAAACCGCAAGGCAGAACGTGGAACCGCCCGCGCTAGCGGCCCTGCGAATGATCAGTTTGGAAGAGCACCCGGGCATTCAGTGGCGTCCGCCTCCCAATGTTGCCACTGGGCGTGCAAGCCAAAGTGTGGCATGCCAGTGGCCTGGCCCATGGAGCACGCCTGCGCACGCTGCCTACATTGGAAGGCCAATGTCGCTTAATGATCCTCTTTGGGCGATGCCGTCTGCAGATCATTCACGATGCTCGTGTTTTTTTTTTTTTTTTTTTTTTTTTTCGGGCTGTGTGGATGCCGAACTTGTTTGGGCGTGCACCAATCGTTCTGGCGGCAATTGCCTTATGGCGTCGGCAACCTCTGCCGCTCGGGCAGATGGAATGGGAAGCGCGCGGTGCGGTACCCAGACGGCTGCCGCGGTATAGTGCAAAGGGAAAGAACATTAAGACGCGAAGGAGGAGGAAAATGAGGACGGGGGAAGAGCAGGAGGATTAGAAGGAAAAGGTGTGTTAGGAGGCTGATGATTTTTCGGCGGAGGAGCGATCGCTAAGCAGTGGCCGGCGATGTGGCGAGAACGCATGTCGTCTTCGTCGTGGTCGCCGTGGTCGCCGTCGTCGTCAGGGTCGTCGTCGTCGTCGTCGCCGTCGTCGTGATCGTCATCGTCGTCGTCGTCGTCAACGTCGCCGTGGTCGTCGTCGTCGTCGTCGCCCGCCGTTCCTGGCCATAGCGTCTGCGGTCCGGGCCGGGGGGCCCAGGGCCCACCCGTCGTTGTCGGACGAGCTCCCCATGAGGCGGGGGTGGCTCCCCGCGAAAATCCCGCCCACGGCCGCGCAGTTCCGATGCTTGGCGAAACCTTTTCACGATTGGACGCGGGCGGTTCCAGGTCCACTGTGTAAACTCATAAACGGGGCGCAGCTCCCGTTGCCCCACGGACCCCACTTAATGATCGGGCGGCGGCAGGTTCAGCGTGCAGCATCACACGGGACGCACTTCGCGTAAAGTGGCGTGCCGCGGCGCGCGCACTTTACGATTCTTTTGGTTTCCGCATTTCGTATGTGAAAAACATGACGGGAAGCATCGATCGTAAAGTGGAACTGTTTGATTAATATCTATTTACATATATATATGTGTCTATATATATATATATACACGTAGACATATATAAACCACCTCCCACTTTGCGATGGATGCTACCCGTCCCTTTTAAAGCGAAGCGCGGCACACCCAAATCGTAAAGTGGGCGCGCCAGGGCGCGCCACTTGACGCGAGGTGCGTTGCGTGCGTGAATTTACGCACTACACCCGCACCCGCCCCATCGTTCAGTGGGATTGCCGGGTGGCCTCCACTGCGCCCCGGGTGTGGATTTGCATAATATAACCCGCCTCCCCCCTTGGGTCGTCATCGCGGTTCGTTGGCCACCGCCTCGCAGGTCCCATTGGTCTCGTCAGTCCCACGGGCCCCTCAGGCCTCGCAGGCCGCGCAAGTCTCACAGGCTACGCAGGTCTCGCAGGCCCCGCAGGTCGCAAGTCCCACAGGTCCCACAGGTCCCACAAGTCCCACAGGTCGCGCAGGCCCTGCGGGCCCCACAAATCCTACTGGTTTCGCAAGGCCCGCAGGTTTCTCGCAGGTCCTAACAAGGCCAACGTTTTGCACAGCCCCCGCAGGCCTTACAAACCCCGCAGCTCCCACAAGTCTCGCAGGTCGCGCAGGTCCCACAAAACCCACCGACCCCGCAAGTCGCCCAACTCCCGCATGTCTCGCAGGTCCCATAAACCGCAGAAAAAGCCCACAGGGGCACAATATTCACGCGTCCCACAGGATTCACTGTCCCGCAGAAACCAAATATTTAGGCCGAATTACCCACCCCCGTGGAAAAGGTTTACCAAAAGTGGCACAAGGATGGGAGCCGACCTGAATCAAACCACGTCGCATCAAGAGACATCCGCCAGTCGATGTAACTGAAAAGCGTCTCGCTTGCTTTGCGCGTTGCATGTTGGCCATCCGACTGGCGGGAACGAAACCGCAAGGCAGAGCGTGAAACCGCCCGCGCCAACGGCCCTGCGAATGATTAGTTTGGAAGAGCACCCGGGCATTCAGTGGCGTCCGCCTCCCCATGTTGCCACTGGGCGCGTAAGCCAAAGTCTGGCGCGCCGATGGCCTGGCCCATGGTGCGCGCCTTCGCGCGCTGCCAAACTTTGAATGCGAATGCCACTTAGTGATCCTCTTTCGGCGTTGCCGTCTGCAGATCATTCACGATGATCGTCTGGTTGATTTAGTTATGACTGTTTGTCCCGGCTGCGCGATGGTGAAGAGGAGACATGAGGAAGGCGCGGAGGAGGAAAATGAGGAGGAGGAGGATTTGGAGAGGAGGAGGACGACGACGATGGCGGCACATGTGGAGTTCATCGTTATCTTGTGATGAACGAAAGCAGAGCCTGGAATGACAGCCAAGTCAAGCTCTGTGCACCCACAGGCCACATTGAGGTTTCGGGAGACGCGCAGTTTTTTGGGCTGCCGAATATTTATTTTGGGCGCATGTTGCCACTGCCACTAGGGCCTTCGGTGGTGTTCCTTATGGTGCCGCGAAGCGCTGCGCTGAGTAGCGTGGGCGCATGGGGTCGCAGCCGCTGGGGCCTTCGGGGGAGCTCCCCACGGGGCCGCGAAGCGCTGTTCTGGGTGGCGCGGGCGCATGTGGTCTCAGCCGCTCGGGCCTTCGGTGCGGCCCCCCATGGGGCCGCGAAGCGCGGTGCTGGGTGGCGCGGGCGCCTGTGGTCGCAGCCGCTGGGGCCCTCGGTGGGGCCCCCTATGGGGCCTCAAAGCGCACCGCTGGGCGCTCTGAAATGAAAAGGGCGACCGCGCAGAGGGCAGAGGCGAGGGCGGGGGGGGGGGGGCGGAAGGGGGGCGCGGGGCGCTGCCCCTTCAAAACGAGGGCCCAACGCCACAGGATGGTCGGGGGCAAAAGGGTAGAAAAAACACAGGGAACATATTTAACGAACCAAGCCTTACTTCGAATCCGCGAGCACGGCCCGAACTATGCGCGGTGTCATTGGGCCCGTCCGCGCGCGAGTCATCCAACGCCTCAAGCTCTCAAAACCGATGGCGGGCCCCAGTTCGACGACCTGGCGGGCGCGCTGTTATCGGGCGGGCGCGCTCATGAGGAACGGCTACGAGCTCCTTCTACCGCCGATGATGGCCGTCTTCCTGCAACCCACGCGGCGTCGGAAGTAGATTCCGAAGCGCGCCTCTAGGGGGCGCGGCGCATCGAATTGCGCGAGGAGGAGGAACTCATGGGGGACATTCCAATGGCATCCTAATATCCAATGTGTATCCAGATGCCAACCGAAACCAGCGCCCCCGCGGCTGTGGCCAGAGGCGAGCCAGGGAACTCGCAGAAACAGGGCTGTCGCCAGGGCGACGCCGAGGAAATGTATCTCGTTCCCGCGCGCGCAGCTGAATGCGACGAGGCGCATTTCTGGCTTTGGACGAACGCGGTCAGTATATGTTGAGCTCCCCCGCGCCACCGGCGCGCCCAGAGTTGCCCTGGCGGAGCGGCCGCGCATTTTTCAATGGCGGTTTTAACCGCGATGCGTGTGTACGTGTCGGCACCGTCGAAAAGAGTTGCAGTCGAAATGGGGGGCGGCTTCCTCGCGATGGCTGCATTGCACTTAATTCCTGTCAAGGCATCCAAAGTTCCGCGCACATCGCGTAAGAGATGGTTCGACAGCATTTGTTTCAAGATGCAAAGAATAGCGAATTCGTCGAGCATCTTGACATCTAGATACGCGCGCGAATGGGTCGTCGGGGGCGCGGGGGGGCGCGACCTTGATCCGGTGGATGTGGTCGTCAAGCGGAAAGGTGGCGGATAACGAGAGGTAGGCGGTGCCGCGAGCCTGCGAGTCGGCGAAATTCGCAAATAACATAAATAACTAAGAACGCACGATTCGAATGCACCCAGTCTTTCGCGGGCCCATGGATGCGGAGGCCGTCGGCGCGGAGACCTTCTCGGGCGCGGCAGGGCGGGCTAGGCAGAGACTGCTCGCGAGCGCGGCCGCGTGCGAAAAGTCCTTGATCCTTGCGGCTACGGATGTAGATCTGGCTACGTCGAAGGGCCTGGCGCGTCGCGAGCTGGCCCAGGCCGCCGGTGAAATGGGCCGCGCGGCGCGCTTCGTGCTACCGCCTGGCTCAGCCGCGGTGCTGCGCGCGCCGCCGGGCGTCGCGTCGCGCGGAGAATCGCGCCGCTGTTCGCCGCGTTCGAAGTCGGGCGCAGGCTCCAGAGGCGCGCCCTCGGGCTCTCTCATCGAAATTCAGGATTATCGCGACTGGGCTCAGACCGACCTCCTGCGACGAGGAATTCGAGGCGGGTCCAATTTTCATCGCGGCCGAGCACGTAGACGACATAGATGTGGCAGGAGTCGAGGAGACGATTGACACATGCGGCAAATTCGTAGAAGGTTGGTTCGGAGCTTGTAAGTTCAGCGACCGCAACTATGAACTGCGCCGCGCTGTGTACCCAGACCGAGGACGGCTCCAAGCTGAATGTATTGGACCAGCTCGCCCCTGCAACATCCAAAACTAACGGGGGCTGAAGCGGAAGAGATGGCGACGACATTTGCGCCAGTTATATGCGCCATCTCACGTGACGAAAGCAGGTGTTAGATACGCCCATCAGTTTACGTGGTGTACTAGCATGCGCCTTGATCATCTGAGCGCGGTCCATGGTGCGCGCGGTCGCTCTACAGCGTTTCCAAGAACCAGCCGGGGCGTGCGTGCATCGACACATCGCCGCCGCGAGCGCACTATAACATGGTCCAATGTGCATTCAATATCAAACCATTTCTCAGCCAGAGGAGATGCACCTACATGGTGACTCTGGTTATCGTCGCCTGAGCGGCGATATCGATGACGAAGTCAAGGGGCATGGCATCCGAGGCGCCGACCTTTCTCTGCATGGACACACGCCCGGCGGGAAGGCAGTCGCCCATCCTAGAGACGCGAATGGTAAATTCTGTCGACTACAAACACGCCCTAGCTATTGCGCAAGAGCCCGAGCAGCAGCTCGCAGCTCGGAGGATCTTTGCCCAATCAGCGTTGCGCCGCGCGATCTAAACTTTGGGCCATTGACTCCGACACTACTCAAGGGTGTGTTGAGGATGTGGTTTTTGCATTAAAGCAGTGCTCACCATCGACGCCGACTCTGTCTTCGCATCCCTATCCTGTATGGGTCCCAAGAACCAGCTGAGTTTGCCCGCCTGGGCCACGTCAGTTGGATTTGACGGATGATGGGGCGAGGTAGCGCGCGTTGCGCGCGAGGGTGTGGCGCGCGTGGCATGACGGCCGATGGACATACCAAAGGTTGTTTTGATTGCGAACTATTAATTTGGGTGTTGGCGGGCGTGCAGTCATTGAAGTATGCGGTCAAGCGTTGCGCCCCATGCAGGGCAAACCAGGCATCATCTTCTCAGATTGTCCTGCGCCGGGATCGCGGGTGAGGCATGCGAGCCCGCGTGGCCACGTGCCTGTTGTTTCCTTGCCACGGGCTTCCTTTTTTGTTTTGCAGAATTGGGTGTCTGAAGGTCTTCGGGCGCCCGTCCCAGAGTTGGTTTCGGTGGGCTGAGTGTTCAGCTGGAGCAGCGAGGCTTCCCTCTAGTGCTTGTGCTGGTGCACCAGCTCCACGGTGAGGTTTCCCGTGGATGTCCCGTTTTTACGGCGTTGCATATTTGCTCAGGGTGGCCTTGTTGACAGCGCAAGCAGGTTATCCGTGTTTTGCTACAGTTGTACCGATGCTCGTGCATTTATGTTTTTGACTTAGTGTGGTTTGACGCGATCTTTTGCTCAGTTCCCCCCTCTTTGACTTGGGGCAGGGGTAATCGGCAAGTCTGCGAACGACGTCTGCGTCTGCCGCCGCTTGGGTTCATGCGGCGGCGGTCGATTGTGACTGGCGCGGTCTCGGGGTGCAGCATCATCCGGACAATGGAAAAGGCGACGGCCACATTATTCGACGATGCTCTTTCAAACCCTATGCTTTGCCGATCATGTATTAATGCATGCCGTTTTCGACTCGGCTATCTTGAGCCATATGTGTGGGGTTCTTTTGGAGCATCAGGGGCCCTGCTGGACCAATCATGGGTCATTCTGGCCGGTCTCGCCGTTCTCGACCCCCCGCAACTTTTCAGGGGTGGATTTGAGGGTGCCCATCCACCGATGGAAGCAAGGGTTTCGCCAAAAGGAAAATCGTCCAGAAGGCAGGGGGTATCATAAGAGTGGTCGCGAGGTGTCGCCATCATCCTGAGGCCCGTGTGGCCCTTCGCTGCGGTTGTAGCGCAAGTCGTGTTTTTTGTTCGCAGGGAAACCCAGTCTCGCCCTGACTGGTCTAAGTCCTGTTTTTGGCCTCGTCTGGGCGTGCCTCGCCGAGACTTATCCTGTGAGTTTTTTTTTTGGGGGGGGGGCACTGGTGCTGGGCGGACAGGTTTTCCGGGTTTCAAGGGATAGGTTGACTGGGATTGCCAGGTCTTCGGTAATTTTGCCAACTCCAGTTCTGTTCGGCCCCTTTAGACGCCACTTCTCCCGGGGTCGTGTTTTTGCCGTCGGTGTTCAGCGCGTTGGTCATCTTCTTTCTTTACCGCGCTTGGCACGAGTCGTTTTGTCTGCTCGGTGTTTCCCTGGGTGGATTCGCCAGGGACGCCCGCCACGCACATTGGGGGGTGGCCTTGGGTATTGCAGGTCTGGTGGTGACGATGGCCATGGAGATGGCAATTGCGATGGTGGTGGTGATGGTGATGATGGGTGATGATAGTGATGCTGGGGATGGTTTATGGTTGTGATGGTGATGCTTCTGATGCTGATGATGATGCTGCAGCTGAAAACCATGGTGATGGTGATGGTGATGTTGATGCTGCTGGTGATGATGATTGCGCTGGTGATGATGACGACGGGACGATTATGATGATTATGATGAGGCTGATGTTGATGATGATGGTGGTGATGGTGATGATGCTGGTGATGGTGATGGTGGTGGTGGTGGTGGTGGTCGTGGTGATGATGGTGGTGGTGGCGGTGGTGATGGTGGCGATTGTGATGTGATGGTGGTTGTGGTGACGATAGAAATGGTTGTGATGGTCATGATGCCAAATACCATGAACGTTGATAATCATGAGGCTCTGGTATAAGAAGAGGACGGAGCAGGGTGGAACAGGTTTTCCTTGGCTTCTTTCTCCCAGGGAACCCCCGTGCCCTGGACTACCGCCCTGGTAATTCAGGCTCCAAGGCTTCGCGCGCGTCGCCACTGCCAATCAGTGTTGCCAGTTCTTCCTTGGCTGTTTTCCTTTCGGAGCGTTTGCGGAAGTCGCCAGCAGCACAGCAGCTTGTGTGGCATTCAGGACTGAAGGGGGCCTCGTGGAGCTTCTGGGGGTCTTTAGCAGGGTCCCCCATACTTTCGCGCAGCCTCTTAGGCAGGAGCGGGGTGACCCCTCTACTGCAATTCACTTTCGTCGACTCAACGACAGGATGGGAGGGGGAGTCAATGGGGGGAAGAGGCAAGGCGCAAAACATGCAGGCTCCTTTTCCTACTCGTCCTCCACCCCGCCACTTCCTCCACCACAGCGGAGGGGAGAGCGGGAGAGTGGAGGGGCGCCCCGAGTTCGCCGAGGTGCTGGTGCTGGCGGCGCCCACTCTGGTGGCGGCGCTGGTGGCGGCGGCGCTTACGCAGGTGGCGGCGCTGGTGGCGGCGGCGCTTACGCCGGTGGCGGCGCTGGTGGCGGCGGCGCTTCCGCGGGTGTCGGCGCTGGTGGTGCCAGCCTCGCCAGCGGGACCATCGAGGGGGTCGGCCGATCAGGCAGTGCGACAGACGGACCGCTTGGCGAATGGGCTGGTGGTGAGGCTGAGACCAGCGGTGCTGGTGCCACTGGTGGCGTTGCCAGCGCTGGCAGGGGCAGCGGCGGCGTCGCCGGCGGTGCCGGCGGGGCTGGCGGCGTGGCCAGCACCGGCAGGGGCAGCGGCGGCGTCGCCGGCGGCGCTGGAGGGGCTGGCGGCGATCGGGCCAGCGGCGGCGGAGCCGGCGGCGGAGCCGGCGGCGGCGGGGCTGGCACGGACGGCGGCGGCGGCGGCGGCGGCAGAGCCGGCGGCGGCGCTGCCGGCGGCGGGGCCAGCGGCTGGGCTGGGCGGCGGGCGGCGGCGGGCCGGCGCGGGGCCGGCGGCGTGGCGGGGGCGGCGGCGGGGCCGGCGGCGGGGCCGGCGGCGGCGGGGCCGGCGGCGGCGGGCCGGCGGCGGCGGGGCCGGCGGCGGCGGGGCCGGCGGCGGCGGGGCCGGCGGCGGCGGGGCCGGCGGCGGCGGGGCCGGCGGCGGCGGGGCCGGCGGCGATGGGGCCGGCAGCGGGACAGGCGGCGGCGGGACAGGCGGCGGCGGGGCCAGCGGCGGCGGGACAGGCGGCGGCGGGACAGGCGGCGGCGTGCCCAGCGGCGGAGGGGTCAACGGCGGCGGGGTTGGCTGCGGAGGGGCCGGCGGCAGTGTGCCCAGCGGCGGAGGGGCCAACGGCGGCGGGGTGGACGGCACGGCTAGTGTCGGCGGAGATGCGGGTGGCGTGGCTGATGGCGGCGGAGCTGGCGAAGCTGGCGGGGCTGGCGGTGGGGCGGCGAGTGTCACAGGTGGAGCCGGGGCGATTAGTGTTGATGTCCGAACTGGGGCGGTCATCGAAGAAGAAAAAACGCCATAAACAAAAAAATGTGGCGCTCCGCGCGGATTTCTTGGATCGGCGCCTGGGCCTCCCTTGCGGCGCCTCCGGCGCCGCCCCTGGCGCGCTCCGCGCGCCAGCGAGGGGGGTCCCACGCACATCAAAGAATTCCGCGCGGACTGTCAACAGTTTATGTTTACGCCGTGTTTTGTTCCTCTAGGTCAGTGCTAGTGGTGGACTCGGGGCAGGGGGTGTAGGTGGTGGAGCCAGCAGCGCCGAGGTCGGTGGAGGCGGCGGCGGCGGGGCCAGCGGCGTAGCCGCCAGCGGAGGCGGCGGTGCTGGCGGGGCGAGTCGCGAGCCGCTCTGGGACGGCTGGGGTGCCGGTGCAAGCCCGAGGCGCACCCCTGGGGCTCAGTGCCTAGTGTTTGGAGAAGAAAAAACGACATAAGCATAAACTTTCGACGCTCCGCGCGGGTTTCTTGGATCCGCGCTGGGCCCCCCGGCGGCGCCTCCAGCGCCGCCGTTGGCACGCTCCGCGCGCCAGGTAGGGGGTTCAGCGCAGGTCCAAGAAATCCGCGCGTAGCGGCAACAGTTTATGTTTATGCTGTTTTTTCTTCTTCTACTTTGTGATCCTCCCCTTCCCTCTCCGACATCCACTTCCTTTCCTCGTTTCTGTCCTTGTTCCCGTCCTCGTCTGCATCGAATTCAGACTGTGGGTGGTGCCTTCTTCCGTTTTCCCCCACTGGCCCGTCGGGGCCTCCAGGTCTACAGCGTAGACTTGCAGTCAGTCAGGCTTGTTTCCGTCGACGTTGGATCTGCAGCCATTTCTTTCGTGCACCCTTCCTGCTCTCTGATCCGTGCGGTCAAGTCTGACTCCTCCCGCTTCTCCTGCTCCTGCTGCTTCACCTCCTCTCCCTGCCCCTACAGGTGATCGTCATGCTGATTCCACGTGTGCTGCGGCCCCTGCTCGTTCCATCACACTTTCTTTTCACTCATCCCGCGCTTACAGCCTGTGCGTTTCGTTTTCTAGGGTTGGATAGCATTGCCGTAGTGTGGTGCATGGCGAGGGTGCCGCTTGTGCCATCTCGAACCAGTCGGGACGGACGGCAGACGACATCTGGGCGAAGGCCGGTCTGACCACTGACGCTGGTCTTTTCGCGCCGCTGCTGGCTGAACCTATGACGTGATCAGTGACCACTTGTTCGATGACGTTGAGGCACGGAGCCAGTAAGTGGCAGAGGTTCTGCTCAGGCAGATATTTCCATCGATTCGCAGCCTTCTCTGGAAGGTGACAGTGCGCCAGGCTCTTTTAGGCAACAAGAAGACCACGATGTCGTGACTCCAGATTGGCATACTCTATCGTATTGAATGTTGTGGGGGTTTCTTCTTGAGGCTTCTATTGGTACCGTTTTCTGCTGTACTTTTCCCGCCTGTGTGTCCTTCGAGGCCGTCCAGCGCGCCGTTCTTCAACACGTCCGCTTGGCCCGAAGGCGCCCGAAATCCCCTGCATGTCTGGAAAGGAGGACGGGAAGAATGAATGATGGAATGTAGAGACGGATGGGTTGATGGAGGATGGTTAGTTGGATGCCTATGTTGTGGCATGGTTGGATGACGGGCAGTTCCAGATAAGGCCACAAGGCGATGTGTCCTGTGGATATGTGTCCTATGTCGACTGGTAAGTCCTGCCCAATGGGCATATACGTAGACGGATGCCGACGATGCCCTCTAGCCATGCGCAAGAGCAGGGCCGTAAGCTTCAGATGGTCGACGCCGACGAGCCTGTGGGCAAGACCATGGAGCGCCTCCAAGGCAGAGCGTAGGCGATGATCGAGGGAAAGGATACGCCCACCCCCAGCCGTCGGTGCAGCAAGGAGGTGGCAGCGGTGAAGCCAGGGTGAGGCTGCAGACTGTGGCCGTGACGCCTGTGTTCGGTGGCTCGGAGGGCGAGGCGGAAGGGTGGGGTCGGGGGCTCTGGTCGTGTGTTTTCACCAGGGTTCGGGCGTGAGGGGGGTACGGACTCGGGGCGTCTGGGTGTCACGGCCAGGGCCACGAGGTCTCCCAGAGCTCATGGCCCCCTCTGCTTTCAAACACGGCCTCTGCCCCCCCCCCTCCTCCTCCTCCTCCTCCTCCTCCTCCTCCTCCTCCTCCTCCTCCTCCTCCTCCTCCTCCTCCTCCTCCTCCTCCTCCTCCTCCTCCCCAGCCACAGCCCCCCCCTCCTCTTCTGCGCACGCGTCGCGGGCCGAGGCTGCGGGCAGTGCTTGCAGCGCCAGGCAGCTCTCCTTAGGGGCGCGCCGTCCACGCGTGAAGCCGGCGATAGCGGAAGGCCTCACGGCAACCCTCGGGGAGGTCTCCGTGGCTTGAGGGTCGCGGCCGTGAGGAGACGAATAGACTGACGAGCACTGCTTGACAATATCAGCCGTGGTCCCTTCCAGGGTGCCGCACAGAAACGGTGCCAGCACCAAGCAGAAGCTGCTTGCGGCGAGGTAGGGCGTGGCAAGAAGCTGGTCACACTACACGGAATTCATCGAGCGCGAGGCGAGCCCTCACGGGGCGGACCAGGCAGCGCTGTGGTGCAGCTTCATGTTAGCGTTCTTCTTCATGCTGCGGGCATCGGACGTGGTCGGTGGAGGGCCTCTTGCACGACGACGCGGCGGGGGCGAGCGGTCTTACGCCGTCCCTGTGTGAGTGGCTGAAGTAGGGTTCAGCATTGCGGATTCTTGCTGTTGTTTGCTGCTGTTTGTTGTCGTCGACCTACCCGCGACCCACCCGCTACCTGTCCTGCGACCCACCTCGACATCTATCCCGCGACCCACCCGCTACTCACCTCGCGACCCGGCCTGCGACCCGCCCCCCGACCCACCCGCGTCCCGCTCGCGACCCACCCGTGACCCGCCATATGACCCACCTGCGATTCACCCACATTGCTTCAACGAAGAAATCGGCGCACTCGGCAGGCTCGTGGCGAAGTGTGTTACAACATAGGCGCTTGCAGCGTGCGTGTTCGCATCTGGGAGTAGGAACACAGTACAGGCCAGCTCTCTTGACCCTCCTCCTTTCCCCTCCTTTTTTGCCCCCCCCTCGAGGAGGAGGAGGGGAGGAGGAGGGCCAAGAGAGCTGACCTGTACAGTTCCCCTTCTCCTAGCATCTGCAGTCGAGACGGCATAGCAGCGGCTTCGTGGGAGTCAGTGGTGAAGGAGTGGAGCCCGATGTAATTTGTGTTGCTTTTCGGCGCTGGTTACCTGATGTTTCACCCTGCTCGCGCGCCGTCTGGCGCAAGGCTTACATTCGTTCCTTCGCGTCGAGCCTTGCAAACTGCCAGCGACCCCCCTCCCCTTCTGCGCATCTGCGGATCCGATGGTGCCAGTGATACCTGTCGGCGCTACCAGCTCATCTAGAAACGATGCCAATACCAGATGCATTGGTCAGGGAAGTGCAAGGGGCAAGTAGTGGAACAAAGAGGGCGGGGACATCCGTCGAACCGAAGCTCAGGATTACAGTCGGGGCCCTGGAGAAGGAACCCTTTTCGTTGGGGAGGGGCTCCGCATTCCTTCAGTGTTTCACAGCTTGCCTCAGGCTTCCCTTATGTTCCCCACATCCAAAGTGGGGTTCTTGTTTTCTCTGGACACCCCGCGCAGGAACAGGAACACACACCCACATCCAAAGTGGGGTTCTTGTTTTCTCTGGACACCCCGCGCAGGAACAGGAACACACACACACACACCCACCCACATTCACTCACACTCTCTCATCATCAACCTCATCAGCATCATCGATGATGCTCTCTCACATGCTTAGTCACTCACATACTCATCATCATCATCACTCGCACTCTCTCACACGCTCACGAACATCATCATCATCATCGGCATCGGCATCATCCTCATTCAAACATCATCATCGCCACCACTCATCTTCACCACCACTCATCATCCTCATCCTCATCATCGTTGAGTAAATTGTGAGGAAGTCTCAGGCGGGAGCCCCCTCCCTATGGGGCCCGCAGATCATGTTGGTAATCCGAGCGGGTCATCGGATCCTGTAACTGTCGTCACTTTTGGGCTCCTCAAGCCTGAATTTGGAGGAAGTCTCAGGCGGGAGCCTCGTCTGTGAGTGAATTGGGAGGAAGTCTCAGGCGGGAGCTCCCTCCCTATGGGGCCCGCAGATCATGTTGGTAATCCGAGCGGGTCATCGGAACCTGTAACTGTCGTCACTTTTGGGCTCCTCAAGCCTGAATTTGGAGGAAGTCTCAGGCGGGAGCCTCGTCTGTGAGTGAATTGGAGGAAGTCTCAGGCGGGAGCTCCCTCCCTATGGGGCCCGCAGATCATGTTGGTAATCCGAGCGGGTCATCGGATCCTGTAACTGTCGTCACTTTTGGGCTCCTCAAGCCTGAATTTGGAGGAAGTCTCAGGCGGGAGCCTCGTCTGTGAGTGAATTCTGAGGAAGGTTCAGGCGGGAACCCCCTCCCTATGGGGCCCGCAGACCATGTTGGTAATCCGAGCGGGTCATTGGAACCTTGTAACTGTCGTCACTTTTGGGCTCGTCAAGCTTGAATTTGGAGGAAGTCTCAGGCGGGAGCCTCGTCTCTGAGTGAATTGTGAGGAAGTCTCAGGCGGGAGCTCCCTCCCTATGGGGCCCGCAGATCATGTTGGTAATCCGAGCGGGTCATCGGAACCTTGTAACTGTCGTCACTTTTGGGCTCCTCAAGCCTGAATATGGAGGAAGTCTCAGGCGGGAGCCTCGTCTGTGAGTGAACTGCGAGGAAGTCTCAGGCGGGAGATCGAGGCGCGGGCGCGGAGCTTGCTGATGTTCAGGCCCAGCGAAAGGGAGTTCACATGGCAGAGCTCGGGGGCGCACAGCGTGCGCCGCTCGGGGTTCACCCTGACGCACGCGTCCTACCTGACCTCCACGCTGTCGCAGGGCCAGACGCTGCGCAAGGGCGTCACCATCGACTGCGCGAGAGACGAGGACGCTGGCCGCACGGGCATGTCGGACGAGCAGTGGTGGCTGCACCTCTACGTCATGTTCTCCCGCGCCACGTGCATGCGGAACATGCTGATCCTGCGGCCGCCGCCGCGAGAGTTCCTGGAGTGCGGGCCGCCGGCGTCCCTGCGGAAGGCGCTCCTGGAGTTCGACAAGAGAACGGTTTTGTCCAGGGCGGAGGCGAAGCAGCTCGCGGCAGAGCTGGGCTTCGTGCTGCCTTCCGCCTGAGCGCGGCTGCGCCTCGCTCGAAGCCCGCGGGGTTGTCCCAACGGCTTGGTCTTGCGCGCCAACGGCTCGCGGGGTTGTCCCGACAGCCTGGCCCGCGGGGTTGTCCCAACGGCTGCGCGACGTGACCAGTAGAGAACGCGCCTGTGCTGGCCGTGGCGGCGACGGCGCCGAGGAACATCGACATGCGCGCTCATGCAACAGGAAGGGGAGGAGGTGGCGGGGCGCGGAACAAACAGGGGGGCGAGGATGGGGACAACGTAAGGAGTGGAAGGGGGGCCCGCGCCAAGGCGAGAGGAAATATACGCAGAAGAGACAGCCAGGACGCCTCACCAACCACGAGGACGACGGTGATGGCTTTTTCCAGATTCGCCCAGAGGATTCTTATGTGGGGTTCTTCCGTCGGAGTAATTTTCTCTGGGCACCCCGCGCAGGAACAGGAACACACACACACACACTCACACTCACTCACACTCTCTCATCATCAACCTCATCAGCATCATCGATGATGCTCTCTCACATGCTTAGTCACTCACATACTCATCATCATCATCATCATCATCACATCACTCGCACTCTCTCACACGCTCACGAACATCATCATCATCATCATCATCGGCATCGGCATCATCCTCATTCAAACATCATCATCGCCACCACCACTCACAATCAATCATCATCCTCTTCACCACTCATCTTCACCACCACTCATCATCCTCATCCTCATCATCGTTGAGTAAATTGTGAGGAAGTCTCAGGCGGGAGCCCCCTCCCTATGGGGCCCGCAGATCATGTTGGTAATCCGAGCGGGTCATCGGAACCCTGTAACTGTCGTCACTTTTGGGCTCCCCAGGCCTGAAAATGGAGGAAGTCTCAGGCGGGAGCCTCGTCTGTGAGTGAATTGGGAGGAAGTCTCAGGCGGGAGCTCCCTCCCTATGGGGCCCGCAGATCATGTTGGTAATCCGAGCGGGTCATCGGAATCCTGTAACTGTCGTCACTTTTGGGCTCCTCAAGCCTGAATTTGGAGGAAGTCTCAGGCGGGAGCCTCGTCTGTGAGTGAATTGGAGGAAGTCTCAGGCGGGAGCCCCCTCCCTATGGGGCCCGCAGATCATGTTGGTAATCCGAGCGGGTCATCGGAACCTGTAACTGTCGTCACTTTTGGGCTCCTCAAGCTTGAATTTGGAGGAAGTCTCAGGCGGGAGCCTCGTCTGTGAGTGAATTCTGAGGAAGGCTCAGGCGGGAGCCCCCTCCCTATGGGGCCCGCAGATCATGTTGGTAATCCGAG